GTCCCGCGCACGTGTCCTGCGTGCGGCTGGGCTGCCGGCTTTCCAAGGGCGCAATTGTTCATAGGGAAGCGTGCAAGCAAAGCTTCCCCCGGGGAAGCGCGTACGCTTTCGCTGAAGGTGGAGGGCCGTGCAAGACGCAGAGGCCCATCCACCCCCTCCCCATGAAAAAGTGCTTTAAAAGTGATTTGTAGCGCTAGCTGGAGGCCTGGTATCATTAAGGTCAAAATTCTTCGACTTCGGAGGTGACCACGTGCGTCTGCCTGCTCTTTCGCCTTCCGGTGCCAGGTTAAAGCGGGGGGGAAGTTGATACTCTTGACAATTATGGAACAGGAAAACTGCTCCAATCCTTATGCTGAACATATTTAAGAAACCAGCTAACTCAGAAGTGATGAGTCACGGCAGAGACCTCACAGTGAAGCTCCAGCGTTGTCCAGCGCAGGTCGTACAGGATCGTCCCAATGCGTCCTGAGACCCCGCCTCAGCAGAAAGTCCCTGGCAAAAAAGCTGTCAAAATAGTTCCTGTTTTGTCAAACCTGCTCCCCAACGTTTCTTACAAGAGCTGGAGATGTAACACAGAGTCGGTGCATACCTCTGCACGTCTTTTTGTTCTTTTAGATTCGATTATTGTTAAATTTGCTTTTGTTGCCAAGACTTTTTGCAGTGTCAGTTTTGGTCACATTGAAATATCTTCTTTTATACCAAGGTCGACAGTTAATGAATGCACTGGAAAGTTGTTTAAAAGATCTGTGGGATGCTTTTGAAAAACTTGTCCTTAAATAAAATGACACAGCGTAAATGTGCTGGTGGGTCTTGGCAGGCCGGGCTGGGCTGGTGCGCGTGGGCACGGAGTGATTTGGGATAAAACGGTTCATGCCAAATGCGGGAAACAGCAGGAAAAGAGCAGTCAGCAGCTCCCCGCGCTGCACGTGCTGGGGCCCTGCGTGGGGACGCGAGCTTGGTTAAATGCTTTTTTTTTTTTTTTTAATAGAAAACTTTTTTGTGGAAGAAGTGATGATTTACTGCATGAGAACCTGCTGTGTTATTAAACAAAAAATAAATATTAATGGCTGGTTAAAGCAAGGTTGACAAGACTTCAAATGGTAATCTCTGTAACTAAACCGATGGGAAGGGGTGGATGACGGTTCATTAACATCTTCCGACGCTCTGACCTTTTCGCCCTACTCTAAGAGGAGAAAAAAATGAAAATCTCACATGCTAAGGGGAAAAGAAACATTTCTCCTCCTCTTTGGTTGAAAAGAGGACGTGCCTGCCTGCCTGCCAGCTTTCCTATAAAAATCATTTTTCTTTGGCCTTTTTCGTAAGTTTTGTGCAACAAATCAGTGTGTAGTTTTTTTGTGCAGCAGAAATCTGGCTCTCGACGAGAAATGCCAGAAGCCGGAGTTGTGCCCCCAGCTTCTTCCCCCTCCCCCCCACCCTTTTTTTTTCCAGTTTTGGTCCCTAGCTGTAAGCTCTGTGCTTAGAAATAGCCATTTTTGTTAAGTATTTGGAAGGATTCCTTAGGTTTTCTGCATCTTGCAGAGATTCCATCCTTGTACGGGTCTGCATCGTGTTAAAGGCTCCAGGCTTCCTTATGAGTTTTTTCTTCTTAATCTCCGAGATCTCCTCCAAACGTCTTTCCAAGCCCAGCCTGCGTCTTCAGAGCTTGTGTATTTTCACGGATGTTCTTCTCGTGTTCCTTACAAGCTTGATTTTTTTTTAGTGGATAAAAAATGCCGCCATGTGTTCTTCCGGAGGGTGTTGCGTACAGCTCGCCAAGTATTTTGATCGCTTCCCCGTCGTAGCTCAAAGGAGCGATTTAGAGTTGTGCTCCAGTTCGGTGTTTAATGAGGTGGCTGTTTTAAAACAGCGGGAATATTTTCTGCAAGCCTCCAGTAGAGACCAGTCTCTCCTTCGTACAAGACGTTCACCAATTTGTGTTGTTTCAGTGGAAAAATCTAATTTTGCAGGGACTTTAACAAATTGCTGATATGGGTTTTGTTTGTTTTTATTGCTGCCTTTTTCTATTGCAGATAGATAGAAGAGAGGAATGGAAAGCAAGAACTGTACTGGAGATCTTTTTCACTGTTTCAAGCAGAGGAAAGCGAGGTTGGTAGTGAATGCAATGGCGCGGAGGCCCGGGACTGAAACAGCACAAACAAAACGTAAAGAAAGTAATAGTATATACAGAAAGCATTGCCTGTTTAATACTTTACCCAAATCTAATCACAAATCTGGCAACGGTGAAGACACAACGCTTGTGGTTGTGTGGTGCAGCCCCAGTTTCTCCTCACTGGCACTGCCGCAACAGCAAAGGTTGGTCTCCCTCTCCCCTCGCCAGCAGGCTGTCATTGCCCAACTGCGCTTTTTCCTTGGTTTTCAGCAATAAGTTCTTCTTTCGCTCTTATCAGCTTGGGAGCATTCTCGTAAAGAAAGGGACACACCTGATTTGTGCGCCGTGTGTTTTCCTGCTCGTTTTTATGAGCGCTCGGTAAACGCTGGGCATGTCTTGCCGTAGGTGTTCACAAACAGCGATAACTGCTGCAAACGCTCGTTGCAACACGGCCTAGCTATTACTGCGTTTTGCTGGGCGAAAAAGCCACCGTGCTGAAACGCGTAGTTTATCTTAGCCTCTGCCAAGCCACCGCCTGGACCGGACAAGGGCTGAGGATGGCGTTGGTGCGTTTTAATCTCTGCAGGAGATCAAGACTTGCCGAGGGTAAATAGCCGTTGCCGCGCGCGCCCCGCGCGTGAGAGAGAGGCTGTGATTTGGCATGGCTGTTCCCGCGCGAGCCCGGCTCGGTCGGCGTGGGGCGCTGGAGCCG